GGAGTTCATCCCATAAGCTGCAGATTTGTTTCCATACAACCATTTTATTTGGCTGTGAGACAGATTTAGAAGCTCAATTAACAGATTTACCATATTTAGTGTCGATCACCTCTCTCCACAAGTCATTTCCTCCATCATTTAGTCTCCACAACCATTTACTCAGAAGCACTTGTTATGGCTCTTTAGGTTTTTAACACCCCCACCCCCACCCCACCCCTCTCTTTTGTATTCTAACTGAATGAAACTTTTCTTATCTGAATTTTTGCTTCTTAATGAGAAAAGTCTTTTTCCAACTCTTGTGAGATATAGAACAGTGATATCTAAGTAGGAATACCATCAAGACAGTGTTTACTGAAGTGTCTGCTTCCAAAAGATAGGAACTGCTTCTTCCATGATGTTAGCTTCTTTTCACATCTATCAATTACCCCTTGCTATATACCAATGTGATTCTGTTTATCCCCAAGAGGAATGCATCTCTTAATCCTTTATGTTCCAACAAGTAATACTACACTTTTAGAAGAAATATCAGCATAAAACTTCCACTCACCTTCAATTAGAACAGGAAAACCGAAAAAATAAGTTCCAAGTAACCCTGATCCTACCCACTAACTCCTTTTTCTTCTGCCTTGGGCTTCCTAATGTCTTTGACTTTTTTTTTTTAAATGACAGTAGTGTCCAAGCCATTTTGCGTGCGGCTTGACTATTCCACTGGGTAGTTGCTACCTCCCACTAGCACATGTACCCTAACTCTCTCCATCAAAGCTAAGGCATATGAGAAGAAATCACCTAGTATTTTTTGCCTCCACTGGAATATGAACCTAAGACCTCTTGATTCTCCCCTCCACTTCATTGACCCCCAGGCCACACCCCTTGGGTGCGTCTTTGACTCTTTCCAATCTCAGATACTGTCATTCTTGCAGATTCAAGGACAAAATTACCTTGTAAGAATCAGCTTCGACAGTAGATGGACATAAATGCTTTGATGTGGAACTACTAGAGTAAGCTGTGGCCTTGGATAGGACATGCAACATTAAAAGGAACCAAAAACCACGCTGTTCCTTTTACAGTATTTTGCTGCCACATCCTTCTCCTGAGATGAAAATCATTTGTAATTTAAACTTGTGCACTGCCTTGCTCCGATAAGGGGTAAAAGCTTCTTAAATCGAGATAGGAAAGTGCTATCTTACCAAGAAAATCTACAAAAACCTCGGGCATTAAGGAGAATTAGTATAACGTAACAAATTTTGAGAGAAATAAATTTCCTTTCAATTCCTACCAAGGAAAGCTCTAAGTGATGGAGAAAATTAGAAACTTAAACTCACCAGATTAAGTACATGGTCTTTGACAGAAGAAGCTTTAGAAGCTGGCTTCCTTGTCCCAAATCTTTGAAGTTGCTCAATCTCCTATCATAGAGAAAGAGGGAGCAAGGAAAAAGTTCACACCTGAAGCTGCTATGAAAATCCATTCGGAAAATGAAGATGAAGGGAACTTACAACTTCAAACTTAAATAGACAAAGCTTGTCCTCCAGTAGTAACCTATTGTGCAACCGCATTAAAAAATCTGCAAATGATCAAAGGTATACCACAACAATTATCAATGAATTTGATAACAGCCAATAGTTGTGGTCAGTCTGGTCATCTCCAGGTTGTTGAGAGTTTGTCATATTCATTTACATTGTACCTCTCATCAAATGCTGAGACAAACTGACTAGAAGCAGGCATTAATCTATTCAGTTTAATGATGAATAATTACTCTATGTGAGATCTAATTGCTATAATATGTGAAATTATATTCTTGTTTCCAGCATGCATAACTGCAAATATGTTAAGCTTGAAACTTAAGAATGAAAAGGATTTCAAGCAAAGAATATAAACCAAACACTTTCAGTCAGAAAAATGGTGGAACTCAAAGTATAAGTTTTTACTTCCAAAGGGCTAAGCTACAAATAACTTGCCAAGAGAAAACAAGAGCAGTGTAGTGCTTTTATACAAATTATATAACATAAAACTACTATGTTTTCCAAAGATGTTTATAAACTACAAGAAGACTTGATAAGTTCAAGGCAGAAAGATGTGCAGGTCCTGATTTGGGGAAAAAAAGTTATACCTTGGAGAAAGTGAAAATTCTATTGATTAGTGCAAAATCCCCTGAGTACAAGAGCAAGGAAAACTAAATACATTAAAAGTGCTTGATGAGATCCAGGAATTGAACATTTGAACCAGTCAGATTAAGAAATTGAATTACATCCTTTAGAAGTTAATAGATGATAGTTGCAGAAGCTCCGTACTCTAGAATAGCTGCAAAATCAGATCTAGGAAAAGAATATCACTAAACCTTTATTCAATGCTATAACATTCATATATAAGATTCTTTTATCCATTCCTATAGCACAAAATCCAGAACTATAAATCTAAGTCACTTGTCGAATTATTAACAAAACTATAAATCTAACTTGAATAATTTGTTGAATTTAAATAACATTTAGTTAATCCAGCATCAGTTCAGAGAGAGAACCTCCATTACCTAAGCTTACCGCTACTTTCAAGGCTCTGTCTATGAACTACTTTTTCAGGTTCAGATCTAGACACTTCCCATTTTGGACGCTCCCAAATGTTTTGACACCATTTCCATTTCTATACAAACTTTCAGTTATTCAAATGCATTCAACTATTCAAACTTTAAAATTAGACATGATTTTTTCTCCATCAAATAAACTTTTCAGCATTACTTTAACATTTTCTTTTATAATCGCTCATTTAAAATATAAGTCAAATGAATATCTTGAACTCTGTACCAATGAAATACCATCATATAAAATGCTAGAAAAGAGGGAGTGTAACTTTTGGTTTGAAACACTGAAGTTGTTCTTTTTTACAAAAGGCCTCAAAAGAGGAACTGGGGAGACAGAGAGCATAAAAGCATGATGCATGTATTAACTGTATAACCGTGATCCCTACTAACTATCTAGCTTAACAGACCTTCGTTCCCCGAGTCAATTGGCTAGAATCAACACATCTTAAGCAACTTCAAACAGGAGAAAAAAGCATTCTGGCTCAAATATGTAAGACCAATTCATTTCTAGATAAAGGAAAAGAGGAATACAATCCTCACCTTTGATTTATCTTCAGCCAATCACAACTGCTTAATGATTTCGGA